TTGACCAGCTGTGAAACATAGGAATGGCTGTTCACAAATGAAGCTTTTATAAACTGCTTTTTAAAATTATCAGACCGAAAGAAAATTCAAAAATACTTGGAATAAAATACATAATCAGCCCACCACCTCTCTGCATCAAGGCCCCGTATCTCTCTTTTCTCTCTGTCTCTGTGATCTTATAGATGTTGCAGCTACAAGTGAGGTAAAAGAGGAAAGCTTACTACAGGAGGAAGATCCGGGACTGGAAGGGAACCATGAAATGATCCCATTGGGATCCCAGGAGGGGATCTGCTTGACAACTCAGGATTCTGAGAGTGAGTCCCCATTACTAAAGTGGAACCATGAGTTGGGTAGTTGTTGTATTTTGTTACTATTATCGTTTCTGGAGTAATTGTTGTACATACTTCCTTCTTCTCTCATTGTTTTCCCATCAGATGATAGCATACCCGGGGAAAATGGGACATGCAGAACATATCCAAAAATCTCTTCTGAGTCATCACAATCAGATGGAACATTACTGGAAGGTTTTCAAGAGAGCATTTCCATGAAGCCTGAGCTCTTTGATCAGGGCTACGAGTCTGACCGACAGCCATGGCAGCATACTGTGAAGCTGTGGGGCATATCCATCCAGAAAGTGGAAGATGTTGTGTCAGATAACACTGGCATCATTCAGGTGGGAGAGGAGCATCACATGTGTCGCAAATGTGGACAGGCATTTGAGCACCAATCAGGACTTATTGTGCACCAGATGATCCATACGGCAGAGAGGCCCTATGAATGCCTCGAGTGCGGGAAAAGCTTTTGCCAGAGGGAGAACCTTCTCGCACACCAAAGGATCCACTTGGGGGAGAGGCCTTACGAGTGCCTTCAGTGTGGGAAGCACTTCAGCACCCGCTCCCACCTCATCACTCACCAGAGAATCCACACGGGTGAGAAGCCGTACAAATGCCTTCACTGTGCCAAAAGTTTCAGCAACAAGTCCTCGCTCGTCACACACCAGAGAATCCACACCGGAGAGAAGCCGTACACGTGTCTGCAGTGTGGGAAGAGCTTTTGCCAGAGTGGGCAGCTGATTCGGCACAAGAGGATCCACACCGGAGAGAAACCATACGCGTGCCCGCAGTGCGGGAAATGTTTCTGCCAAAGAGGACAGTTGATTCGACACCAGCGGATGCACACGGGGGAAAAGCCATACGAATGCCTTCTGTGCGGAAAGAACTTCAGCAGGAAATCATATCTTGACATTCACCTGCGAATGCATTCGGGAGAGAAGCCGTACAAGTGTTCCGAATGTGGGAAAAGTTTCTGCCAGAGCTCTCAGTTGATTCGGCACCAGAGAATCCACACTGGAGAGAAGGGCTTTAGGTGTTCCAAGTGTTGCAAAAACTTCTATCAGAAAGAAACACTGGTAAGGCACCAGGGAACCCATGTGGAATCGATACCCTACGAATGCTCTGAATGTAGAAAGGCCTTCCTACGGAAAGATAAGCTCGTACGGCACCAGAAAACCCACACAAGGCTTGAAACATTATGAATCCTTCTTTTAGTTGAAATGGTAACAAG